GGGGAAAGAGCCTCGTCTCAGCTAGCCGAGGATACAGGGTACCAGCACAATTACCCTGCTGTGACTCACAGCAGAACCCGGCCCTATGACACGAGCAGGAGTACGACCAGCTCATGCAGACAACTCCTGCAGGTGACCCCGTTTTCCCCCCGCACGCCCCCACAGCCCGGCTCACCAGTGGCACGGTGCAGCACCCGCCCCGCAGCGCCCTGCAGCTCCTGCTGCTCCTCGCCGTGGGAGAAACAGCACAGCAGCTCAGACACGCGAGCAGGCACCCACTAGGGACTAGAGACCCAATATACCAAAACCACCACAGAACAGAAATCGGGCTCTTAGATAAAGCTGGCCAAGCCGGTCCATCTGATATGTCAACACTTTGTCCAGAAACAGAAGACTCGAATATAGTTTACAAAAAGAGTAGTTATTTATAGAATGCCTCAATGTCAAAATACTAACAAAAAAACCAGCTTGTTAATGCTGAGAAGAGTGGTCTTGGAGAAATTAATAACTAAACCAGGCTGTTGCTAACAAGAATAGTTGATAACTCTGTAAAAAGACAGTCTGACGTACTCAGGGAAAAAGGAAACATTTGAAACAAACTGTTTACAAAAGTGATTGAAATGCTCAGCACAGATCTAACACAAGTGTTAACAACCGCTATTGTAATTTTATTTTTGGACAACTTCAGCAACTATTTAAAAAAAAAAAAAAAAAAAAAAAACACCAACAAACCACCCTGCTAATACAAAAAGGTAGGGAAAAAAAAGGACAATCCAATAAGACAGGCTTTAGACAAACTGAGTTAAGATGCAGCTGTACCTTTGTCCCAGTAATTAAGAACTTCAACTTTAAGTGTGGCATAACCCAGCTCAGCTAGGTTTGTAGGCCTCCCTACCCTTCCTAAAGAGTTAGTTCTTAGAAGGCTCCAATCTCAGTCCCCCAGGGTCTGTAGGGTTTGCTAAGCACCGCGGACTGCGTTGGTGCAGATGGGCTCAGCACGTTGGGGGACAGCAGGTGGAAGGAGCCAAACGAGAAGGGAAACGCAGACAGAGATGCCATGGAGGAAAGAAGAGGAGGAGACAGTTTGGTAGTAGAGGTGACCACGGGGAGCACTGGTCCGACGCTGCCATTTGGGGGCACTCTGAGTGAGGAAGTGTCAGCGTGTGGGGCGGCAATTCTGGCCTGGTGGTGCGGTTCTGTGGAAGATGCCGCAGTACTCGTGTTACCGTGCCCGTTTTGAGCCAGCAGCAGCGGGTGAGAGAGGTGAGGGTGATGTCCAAAGGCACTGCCCCAAGGAACGTGTCCGATGCCAGCGTGGGCACTGCTCGCTGCTTCCCGCTGGGAGGCGTAGTTATTGAGATGAGAGACGAGCCGGACGCGCAGGGGATCGGCGGCGTCCAGCCCCTCTATAATGCTGAGGTACCGAGCGACTTCAGCCAGGCACTCTCGGAAGCCCAGACTCCGATAGTCCATGGCCAAGGCATGCGCGTCGAAATAACCTGAGGGAAAAGAGCAAATAATGGAGGCTTAAGACACTGGCTTCTAGTCATTGTCTACATGTCGCCTCACCACTCCACCCTCCCCCGTAAGCATATTTCACTTGGATGTGGTTGGTACTCTCAACCACAGATTAGCTGCCAAGCTCCTCTTTTTTTCTTCTTTTTTTGTCTAACAAGTTTTTCTTTTATATCTGTGCTGTGATGCTGCGAATCCCAAGACCAGTTACAGACTGCCGTTTTTAAACTGAAATCGCACGCTGCCACTGAAGGAAAGTACTTTTGTTCTTTCCACGTCTCCACGGTGCAAGCAAAACCACAGCACAGCAAAATTCATTAGAAACACAAGTCCTAACTCATCAGAGGGCACTTCTGCAGGGAATGTACTTTTTTAATAAAAGTGCAATTCACCATTTTTTGCTAATTCCCTTCACTGCTTATTTCACTCTGAATTTTTTTCTAGTTTCTGTTCTAAACTTTCAGAAAGTTAGAGAAAGAAATGTTTGAGAATAACAAGTACTCTTGTGTTTTCCGAGATGCCAAAAGCCAATTCACTTCACAATGCAGACCCACTGCTGGAGAGACTCGTAATGACCCTCCCCCAGAACAACCCGGAGCGAGCACAGTAAAATGTTTCAGCGTTAGCCATGCCACCGATCTTGTCAAGCAGAAGTCCCAAATTCCTGATGGAACGTAGGAGAGCTTCCCCTTGCTTTCTCCAAGCTCTCCCACAGCACACCAAACGCTAGTGAATGCTCTCCTCTCACAGCAGCCTCTCCATAGAGCTGCTGACCCACTGTCAGGCACGAAACTCCACCTTTCCCTCCCGCTGTATGCAGCATTTTCAGATGATCGACGGTCATCTGCAGAATCTCTGCTTTTTCCAGCTTGGCTGATCCCTAGGAGAGAAGGGGAAGCACGGGACGTTTTAAGGCAGAACAGAGCCGCGGGAGAGGGGCGACCCTTCTCGCGGGGAACAGGGGGAGGCGGTGCAGAGGGGCACCGGGCGCTACCTGCTTCTCAAAGGCGCTGGGCACCAGCCTCCGGAGCTCGGACAGGCTGTTGTTGATGCGGTCGCGACGGCGCTTCTCAATGATCTAGGGCAGAGAGCGGGGGTCAGGGCGCGGCCGGTCCAGGCTGCGGGGAGCTGCGGGGAGCTGCGGGGAG